AGATCCAGCCCAATCCGCATCACAAAATGCTTCAATGCGGGAATGTTCGTGATTCTGATAGATAACACCCTTCCCGAGATCCTTTTTAGATACTTTATAATGTCGCGACCTAAAATTTCTCTCAGGCTAATGGATTATTAAGACTAAGCCTAACTCGGGCCCTCCCAAGCCCTACCAATTCGCAACTTAGGGTTTAAGTTTTTAACATGCAAAAGTTTTCATGCTTGGAGTCGCCACTAATCAATTTATGGTAGGTTGATTAGAAACCTAAATAAAACATAGGGAGATATGTTTTATTCCTACGAACCGTAGATTCTAAGCCGGGACTTGATTACGCTAGATCTAGTCTAACGCCCTTTCGGTACCTTTTCTTTTCAAAATGTTTTGGCAAGCGGTTGGATCCATTTCAACTTAGTTACTAACATGTAGGTGTTCATGCGAGTCGCAGAAACCACCAATTTAACACCCGAAAGCATTAAATAAATTGCAAGTTTGGAAGAATTATTTACCTGGAAGCAACGTAAGATCACATTGTTAGCTAGAAAATCACATTGACACCCTAATATGATTTCTAATTAACAAACAATTCACTCAATTTCTTTTTTTGATTTTCACTTATTTAAATGAAATCTAGCCTATATGCAATGACATGCGAAAATGACATGCGATTAATGCAACCTAGCATGCAAACTATATGTCATGCGACAACGCGACCTAATTCTAATGACGGACAAATGATTTATTTTTGGTATTTTCAAATGAAATTCGGAATTAAAAATTACTCAAATTAACATGCAATCTATCCTAGAGAAAATGATTTGATCTATCCTAAAGTGATTCTTTTTTTGGGATTTTTATTAAAATTCGAAATTATTAAATATCCTAAATAATCCACTAAGATTAAAACAATCTCTAATTTAAACTAGGAAATATGCTACCATAAATCCCAATTCAAATCAAATAATTATCTTATTCTTTTGGATGTATTTAAGATTCCCTAAGCATGCAAAATTTCTAATTTAAATCCTAACTAACAAATTTTTGGATTTTCTTTATTTAAAAGGAAAACAATCAAACGAAGATAACAATCACATTCAAACAATCCACGCAATCCGCAAGATTCTTCTTATCAAATTCAGATTAGGTAAAGAAATCAAACTAACAAAGGATATCTATAGGGTTATAGATATCGACTGAAAGTCTGATTGTTCAAATTTGAAAAGCAAATAAAATCTATTATCGTATCCAAGCTGATTATGGATAAAATAACGATTTTCCGTATCGCCGCGTATCGAACCTTAGGGATAAGGTCGGATAGTCGTCCGTATACGTTGCTAAATTAGGAAGTTTTCCTAATTATGAATATTTAAAAATATTGCGGATATATCGAATATTATCCTAAGATATCTAAATATCCACACGATATTCACGAAATATTCAAACACCCATATTAGAAATTAAATATTCTGAAAATATCGGATAATGTTGGATTACCTAATTTGCAGATAATTCCCAAATTCAAATCGACTCGGGATCGAGTTTACGGATCGGGATCGGCCTCGGACGACGGGCGACGCGGCGTCGGCGCGGCGGCTCACGGTGGCGTCCGGCGACGGGCGCAGTGGAGCGCGCGGTGGTGGCGGGACCAATGACGGGAGACTCGCTGAGGCTGAATTGTCACTGACAAAGCGGCGTTGGGAGCAGCGGCGATATGCATGCAATGCTGTTCACGGACTAGAAAGATTCAATGAGGCTCGACGGCTGTGTTGTTGCAATATTGCAGCTCGAGTTGTTGCATTCGGGGCACGATTGCTTGTGCTTGTCACAGCAGGTTTAGCGAAGGAGCACAGGCGTGGACAAGGCTGCTGTACTGGACTGGGACTCGGCGTCGCTGAAGCAATGAACTTTGATGGCAGGAGCAACAAGGCGCTACGGATGGACCTGGTGAACGTCGGACTTGCTGTGTCCGTAAATCTGAGGAAGAAAGAACGTGATGATGGGATGTGAAAGTGAGCTCTTGGTGAAGAATTTGCACGAAGATCCTCTTGGCCCTTAGCTCTTTCAACTGTAGGCGCTATACATATTTTCACTCACACACTGATCCACTCACCCAGCAAACCCACCGAAGCTTTCCCCATAAAACTCCCTCTATCTTCACGCCTCTCTTCTTTGACTCCCTCAAAATTACGTGGTCTCTGAAAATTCTGAACCGAAAATTCTCTCCCCCCTAAAAATCTGACCTAAACATGTTTATATAATGCTAACCTAGGTCAATTAGATGGGCTCTATAGTCCTAATGGGCTTAGGCTTGGGCTTAGGTTTAATTTAATTTAAATGGGCTGATTTATCTTGGGCTTTTATTTAATTAAGTATAATGGGCTGAATTAAACTCAAATTAAAACAACCGGACCGATTTGACTAGAATTCCCGCCCTGCATTCCAAGCGAGCCGAGTCCCATTCGAAGAAATTTTAAGCTCATTCGCCACGCTAATCTCGATGCAAAAAATGCAATTAAATTAAATGGACCCAAACTATATATTTATGCAATTTAAATATTTTTGTTTAGGGGTTAAAAATTTAATCCCTAATTTTCTATGCAAATTACACTAAATGATACGCCAAAATTTAGGTGTCAACATACAATCCGCAGAGCAGCCTCCCAATGAGGAACACGAGGGTCAGCCATAAACTGACTAACAACACTAACCGGAAAGGCAACATCAGGTCTGGTCATAGTGAGATAATTGAGTTTTCCCACTAATCTACGATACCTCTCAAGCTTTGGAATCGGGGCACCTTCTTGCGGCATGAGTTTATCACCAGGAATCATAGGGGACTCGCAATATTTTGCCCCAGACAGCCCTGTATCTTGCAATAAATCTAACACATATTTTCTCTGAGACAGAAAAACACCATTCTTACATTTAGAAACTTCAATACCAAGGAAGTATTCTAGAGGACCGAGATCTTTGGTTTGAAACTGACTGTTTAGAAACTTCTTGAGCCTAGAAATGCCTGCTAAGTCACTGCTAGTGATCACAATGTCATCCACATATACAACCATATAAATACAACCTGCAGGAGAAGTATGATAGAAAACAGAACTATCCTTAATACTCTGCTTCATGTCAAAATCCCGTACAACAGCTCTAGTAAACCTGCTAAACCATGCACGAGGTGACTGCTTGAGACCATATAAGGAGCGACGAAGCCGACAAACCTTATGAGACTCCCCCTGAGCAACAAACCCGGGAGGTTGCTCCATATACACCTCCTCGTCAAGATGTCCATTCAAGAAAGCATTCTTGACATCAAGTTGATGGAGGATCCAATCATGGGAGGCGGCCAGAGAAATAAATAACCGAACGGAGGCCATTTTAGCCACCGGGGAAAAAGTCTCAAAATAATCAACACCATACTGTTGAGTATATCCCTTAGCAACAAGACGAGCCTTCAAGTGAGCAAGCGAGCCATCCGGATTAACCTTGACAGTATAAACCCATTTACAACCAATAGCTTGCTTACCCGTGGAAGAGGAACAAGCTCCCAGTGTCTCATTCTCGAACCAAGGCCTCGCATCTCATCCACCATAGCAAAGACGCCAACCGTAATGAGCCAAGGCATCATAAACTCGATCGTGGAATGTAGATGGAATCCAAAGTGGCAATCAACGCCCGTGTCCGAACCGATAAACCCTTATAACGTATAGTATAAACAAGTCTATCACGGCAAGCACGAATACCTTTACTGAGAGCAATAGGCTCATCATCCGAGGGGAGATCCCAGTATCAATGGAGAGGTATCCAAATGGAGGTGGCGTTGGCGAAGATGCATCCGGGAGGAGGATCCAATGAGTCATCGAAGGCACATTGGATGGGGTAGAAGAAATCACAGAGTCGGCATGATGATACATACGACCATACCACACATCGTTGGATTGAGCTGTGGGGTGGATGATGTCTCGAAGTAGGACTAGATTGAGTCATGGGTGTGGATGATGTCTCGTAAGAAGGACTCGATCGAGAACGATGGACCGTAACATCCTCCAAGAAAGTAGATGGAGAATCATCCTTGGTGCCATAAGATTGAGACTCATGGAAGGTAACATCCGCAGAGACAACGTAGCGACCTAGATCGAGAAAACAACGGTATCCTTTCCGATGCCGAGCATAGCCCTAAAAATACAACGAAGAGACTTAAGGTCGAGTTTAGAGACCCGAGGTCGCATATCACGAACGAAACACACACACCCGAACATCTTTGGAAAGAGAGGAAACAGAGATTTAGTAGGGAACAACACACGGAAAGGGATTTCTCCATTGAGAATAACAGAAGGAAGACGATTGATAAGATAACAAGCGGTCAAAACTGCTTCGGCCCAGAATGACTTAGGGACATTTTCAGACATTGCATGTGCTGTGAGAATAAACTGCAAATTGATGATGAACATCCCAGTTAACAGCTTATCCGTACTAGTTACGCCATAACAAGAGTTGCAGTGATTCCCGATGAAGTATAACGATCGTTGCACATTCTATTCAGGAGCTTGGGCAGACCGTTTGCCTACATTTTCCGCAAACAACTCCCCCTGGATTGGTTTAATGGCATTACAAATATAGTTTGTTCAACGAAGTCAATAATAACCTGGAGAATGGATCATGGATAAAGCCACAATGATAATAGCAGAACGAAGCTGGATTGCAAATAGTTACAAAGTGTATCTAGTATATTAGGAATACAAAGATTTTGGCTAAAAGAAGAAAGGGTTCCAAAGAAACATTCCCCATTCAAATGAAGTCCCAGTCACATTCAACGATCCTATGATGCCTATCAGGCTATCACAGCTTCAGCTTCCAAGAAAAGCTTACACGAAGTTGAGATCATGTCTTGCATGCTCAAAAGTTTAAGCACGATCTCATCCATATTCATTTGATAGAGAAGTCAGATGCAGGGACACACAAGGCAAGAGGAACCGGTTGACATGGACAAGAGGTGAAAATAAAGCAACACAACTCCAACCTCGAGTACTGCATAGTTTATCTGAAGAATTTACACTATTGCCCTAAATACACGGAAGCAAAAGAACAGTAGCAGCAACTGCAACGGTAGAACTACTGCAAATAACAGAAGGGTGCATATACATTATCACCAGAAAGCAGAAAGCCAGTGAAATCTGGTACTGCAACACAACAGCTCATGGCATTGTACATCTCTGTTAGTAGGCATCACCGACTCCAGAATTCAAAGTATAACATTATGAATAATGATAGTCCTCATCAAATACTGTCAAACTGCCGCTAGTCCCAGACTTATGAGCCTGCATGGACAGAAAGAAGAAATTAAGCGGCTTCACAGCTATCCTGAGACTTTCTTTTTCCAAAATCAGATAATGAAACACAAATTTTCAAATAATTTGGTGCTCCGGTGGCAGTCAACCAGAGACATACGAGAGATCGCATCAAGAACTGTTTTTTACTCCTCAGAATCTAGGTAAGGTCTTACCCTATGGATGAGACTTTCAAACTGTTCAGTTCCATGCTCTTCAATATACTTCTCCGCAGCGGTCAAAATGTCATCTGGCGGCTTATTAAAGAGATCCTTCTTTCTTGGGACATACCAGATGTTAATAGTCTGAGGGTTGACAAGCACGGGCCTCACAAAATGTTCATATACATATGCAGCACCGCTGAAGTATGGTATGACCAACCAGCAGGTCAAAATCAACTTTGCATATGGCCATATAGGGATCCTGCCAAAGACTCGAGACTCTGTAAAGAAGCGAATACCATAAAAGCTACGCAAAAACGTGTCCTATACATTTAACATGTGTCTTCGTCCTATACATTTAACATGTGTCTTCTGCTTTATAGGAAATCCTCCATGGAACCGCAAGTCCGCAATACAATCAGGAAAGGCTGAGGGAATAACACAGATTACATTCTATTATTTAACATGACATAAATAAACAAAGCCCTGATTTCGAGAGTAACAGCCCCTGATAATATAAGGAGAATAATGCTTGCTGTTGGTGATCGCTTTTTTATTCCATAACCTTAGCAGAAATTTTAATGCAAGAATACCAGCCACACACTATCATTCTCAATCGTCATCTTTTTTACAAATGTCACTATGCTAATCAAGTAAGAGGCTGATGATACCCATCTTAAGACTGCAGCTACCAGCCGAGCACATCCAAAGGTAGAATAGTCCTATATCTAAAGCATTTAATGACTGTATGACCTAGAAGACTCTGACAAAAGCTTCTACCACCAGGGGATAACTATGAACCAGGTCACATCGGCATTGCAGTTGGTATTTACGACATCCCATTCCCAGCTGTTTGTGCATCCAACTCATTCCAGAAAGCTAAATGGCTAACAGGCTTTGGAAGTATATTGGAGGCTATAAGAACAGGTCAACACTTGCAACATAATACTCAAAAAACCATCTTGACATTCTTTCTAAACAGCGATTTATGCGACTGCCGATTGCAAACTGCAATAACTACTTCATGGATAGCAAAAGGCATCCACAGCGAAATGCAATTTACCATTCGAGGAGTTTGTTAAAGGTGAGCTCAAAGAGAGTAACGAGGGAATACAGAACCCAATAGGTAAGCCACTGCTGATCATCTATAGGAGATTTAGTCTCAATTGCCCTGATGGAAGCATACCTGTAAGCAAAATGATTATTAATCAGATACAAAACCAACTAGGAACTAAACCAGAATATCAAAGCAAATGCAAAAGGAAGCTAAAATTTCAGATAATGTGATCAGAAACCAACTTACAGAGGATACACAAGACTGATAAACGGCCTGAAACAAACACAACGGATCCCGAATTAGTTCATCCCATCAACTAAAACGCATAGAAACTTCAACTTCAACAGGTTCCAAGTATGCCCCTTCAGCTCTACACACCAATTATCAACTTCAACAGATCCCAAGTAAAGCCCCTCTAGCTCTGTACCCCAAATTTCCATCTCCAGCTCACATGATAACAACAACGGTAAACCCCATCGTTTCTTTTTTTTTCTCAAGAATTCCGGTTTCTCCAGGAAAAAAACTGAAAAAGAAATAGTGGGCAGAGCGAATAAAGGGAAAAGAAGGCATACCCAGCAAGAACATCAAAGTTTTTCAGCACCACCTTGAGAAAGGTTCCGACCCCCGATCCCATTATTCTCTCTCTCAAATGCGCGTCTTCCTCGGTCCTCCTTCTTCCTCTTCTAATTATTAGCCCTTGCGTGTTGCAGGAGGGAAGGCAGTATTATAGGGTTTCAGGTAGAAATTGGTTCGAGAGAGACGGGGGAGAACAAGCGCTTTAAAAAAAGCAAAAAGGCGGAAGAAAACAAGAACATGGAAGCTTGACAAAGGCAAGAGATCCCAGGAATTCGTTCTGGTAGGGTGCTTCGGTGGTTCCGTGAGCTCATTCGTTCCACCAATCGTGACGCGCCACGCAGGATGGCCGGTTTGACTTTGACTTTGTCGGCTTCAGACAGTGGATTTGGTTGCCGGACTACGGGTGCATCCCAAACCATCGGATCTTTTGAGGTGGGTGGGTTCGGTGCACCGAATGTGAAGAAAGATCCTAAGGAAAAAGACCCTGCTCCCTGTCAAAACCACGAAAGTGCCACTTCTCGTGTGCTCTAAGTTTTTATCATATTACATCGAGACAATGACATAAACAATATAATATACGTGATCCATGAATTTTTAATTTATTCAATATGATCCTCAAATTTTAGCACAATGTGTATCCCTGAACTCATAGTTTGTTCAATATTTTCATTCCCTTAATTCAAGTTCAGGGATAGTGTTAAATTCAGATACTAGATTGGACATATTTCAAAAACTCATGGATCACATTGAAAAAATTAAAAGTTAAAAAAAAATACTGCATATTAAAATAAAGTTCAAGAATCACGTCATATAATTGAACCAATTTTCAGGACCGCATGAGTCATTTCCTCTCTTACATGTGGTCTCTGTCTCCTTCCGGGCATACGTACGTGATTTCTGTCGGCAGAGCAGAGGCACGGATTCAATAATTTACCGTGACCAATGAATTTTTGAGAATTTACACTTTCTTCTCCAAGCTTATATCCTCCTTTCGTTTGATTCGCTCAACTTTATGATTTCCCTTCTTGAAACTGAATCGAGTTGAAATTACTGTTTTATAAGGCTTTCGAAGTGAAGGAACAGAGTACTCCACAAACCCAGAAAACTGACTGTGGGTTATCAAAACCCACACGTCCCCCAAATCATGACAAAAGAGGAGAGAGAAAACGACTCAAAAGTTAGGAGAGATTTACCCTTATCCATCATCCATGTACAGACTGCCGATCCAAGATGCTAAAGGGAGAAAGCTAAAGGAGCAAATTCAAGAATACAAAGGTACAGATTCTCAAAGAGTCTAAAAACTGAGTTTTTACACGCCATTATCAGGGACATTTTCCCTATTGCTGCTACCGTTATTGCCACCGCAAAGTGGGAGCTCGTTCCTCCCAGCGGTTTGGTCGCCGAGGAGCTGCGACGGCCACGAATCTGCGGGCGTGGGGTATCTCGGGTGCGGTTTACTCACGTGCGGGGCATGCACGGGATACGACGAGAGATCGGGTTGAAGGGGGACGATGATCACGGCATGCGTTTGCTGCAATGGGGGTTCTGCCGTAGCCAACCCTGTAGCATCTCCGGGATAATTTGCCGTCACTGCAGGTTGGGTACATTCAGGAGGAGGTGCATTCAGATCAGGCTTAGACTCGGCTACCCGGGCTCTTAGCTCGCTCTGCAATTTCTCTATTTGGGCTTCTAAGGCAGAATTCTCCTCTTTCAGCTCATTTTTCTCGACAGTCACCTGAATCAGCATTTCACAGAGTTATCACCCCTGAAACTTTAGACAAACTGATGCAAATGAAACATCAAGAAATTTTCAGTTTGTTTATCACATAGAAGAGTGAAATGGTCAAAAGCCAGGAACTTTCCAAAGCAAAGTCTCCCATTCATCTTGGTGTTAAAAGAATACATTGACATGAAAACTACCAGGTACAAATTTTTTTTATAGTGGAAATAAGTTTCAGGTGTTGGGCAAAGGACATGCGACTGAGAGTGGTTGACAAAAAACTTTAGGAGCCTACATTTCGGGAACAGTGGACATACCCGAACATCAGCATAAAAAGATATCCAATAGAAGTGAGAACTTACATAGCGAGACTCAGACAAGAGAGAAACGTTGTCCTTTTTAAGCCCGTCAATCTGGCCATATATTTCTTTCAACAGGCGAGCAGCTTCGCATAGTATAGAGGCCTTGCCATTGTTCTGCTGATTCAATTCTGCGCAAGATACTTACCACAATGAGGTGAAATCCAAATGGAGTGATTTGATGCACTCATCAGAACAGTAGTGTCTGAGCAGATAAACTGAACAGGAGAGAGCATCTTGCTATAACGTGAAGCAGATGATTTCCTTCCACTAAACAAGATGATAATTACCAAGTGCGCTTGCCAAATCTTGGAAAAGCTCATTCAAATGCTCACGCTTTTGTTTCTCCCGCTCAGCTTTGTGAATTCTTTTGGGTACTTTACCCTGATTCTTTTTGCAAGGAGACGACCTGCAAAAGCAAAATAAAATTTATAAGACCACAAAGCATAGAATCAAAATGATTCAAAACAGCGGTGTCCATTCCATGCCAAGAAAATGAATAGCCCGAGAATTTATCAGATTGAAAACTGGATAACCGTCTTCTTTTAATAGATCTATACAGCAAAAGTCTGAAGGCCTAAGGAACAATCAGGAAAACAAGCACTTTATCTTTTTTGCTGCACGCCCCTTGCCCCCCAAGTCCTGACCCCACCTCCCCACTCCAAAATGGGAATTGTGGCAAGTAAAACATGCACTAGACAGAGCAGGAAGTTGACTCTGCGGGTACCATGCTAGAGATGGAGACAACAAAACGAACGACCCTTAAAGGACGATAATGCTGATCTTCCATCTAGGATTACCAATTTCAAGTAAAAATGCATGAGCCAGTTAGATTTAATATCTATAAAAGTAACATTAAAGCCAACTCCAAACGGAATATAGAAAGCCAAGAACTGTAGCTCTTCTACACTTCACCATAAAAAAATTCAAAATCAAGTGATAGTTACTAGTTTAGATTCAGGTATAACCAAACTTCTCGAACATCTATTCCCATATAAATAGGCATATCTGTAATAATACGAGCAATTAATAAATGAAGCCTGTACACACCAGATCTCAACTGACACTTACTACCAGTTGATTATGATGATGCACCAATTCAGCTAACAGAAGCCTAAGGCACCATTAAACTTATGCACTATGTGGATCGAATGATATTTTGAACCGTTCAGCTTATGGTCCTTATGTCTGACACAAGCAAAACGACCTTGTCAATCTCATCAACTACGCAGGCTCCCGTCGTAGTTTGGAGCTAATAAGCTTTAAGTATAGGAACCATCATGCAAATTGACAATTGTTCTCAGTCAGATCACTTCTTTCCTGATCTGGTCATCATGTTGAGCGAAAGTGTCATCTGCACGACTCGCGGTTCATTCGTGTGATTACGTGCATTCCACATGCCAATCACACACCGCATGGACTACATGAACTAAGAGATAGACAGCAGTCCCAACAACCGCGATCAATTAAAACAGCCAAACAGGAACTAACCTTCCTGCTGATAGGGATGCCTCCACTGCCCCGTTGGTATTGTCGCCGGACGAAGTCGTCGCCTCCGAAACCATGGTCGTTGCGGCGCAAACGCAAATCACTGAAGAAACTAAACGAGGCCCATCAAACTTCTATTTCATTTGCTCAAAAGTACGCAGGCAATAGCCAATTCTACTCTACAAAATTTGACCTTCTTCTGCAACCAAACACACAACTACCCAGGTCCTACAGCACAGAACCCACATATCCATTCACAAAACCCACCAAAAAAAAAAAGGATCTTTCCGCCAGAACCGAATCGGGGCACCATCAAATTAAAGCCCCAGATGAACAGAAAACAAAGATCAAGACTAGCAAGGCAAGAAAATGAAGACCCGCATAAACCAGAGCAAGAAACAAAGGAGCACAACAAGCAAAGCAGAGATCCAAATAAAACCCCAAACTAAACTGCCGATGGAGAGAAACAGCGCGATTGATCTACCTGGTGAAAAGGTGCAGATTGCCAGGGGCAACAATCAATCGACGAATCGGGACAATTCCCGAAGGAAAAGGCCAAAAGATTTTCAATAACTCTTAGGGTTAGAGAGAGAGAGAGAGAGAGAGAGCAGGCATATGATTGAAGGAAGGAGTAGGTAAGAGAGAGATAGAATGAGAGAGAGAGAGAGAGAGAGAGAGAGAGACAGAGGGGCACGGACACAGGAAGGAGCGTGGCGACCACCTGCCGATGCAAAGCTTAGAATCATGTCCTCCCCCTCTCTCCACGTGCCCCCTTTTGTTTCTTCCTCCTCCTCTTTGCATTCGGCCCCCAGATTTCACACTCCCTCCCCATTGGATTGATTCTTGCCAAACTGAAGGCGGCTTCGAAAGAGTCAAATATTTTTTTTTCCAAAAAAAGTGATGATTTTTTCCCTTTTCGGAAAATGGGTCGTGGAGAAAAATTGGTCCATGAAATGAAATCGAAATAAAAATTGGAGCTTTTCTTGGGCTTACTTTGGGACAATTTCCGAAAATCAAGAAAAGGAAAAAGAGGGGGGAGAAGAAGACGAGTGGGAGGAGGAAGGCGTGTGGTGTTCACGAGGCTGGGTGAGGAGGAAGGCGTGTGGTCTTTTCTTCTTTTTTTCTATTTTCAGTTAATATCACAAATAACCTTAAATTTATACACTTGTAATAAATTTATCTCAAAACTAAACTCCAAACTGGTACATTTATGATAAATTTACCCTCAATTATTTTCTATTAAAACTTACTGTCAAATTACTGAGTTGGATGACACGCGGCAGTTGACGGGTGTACCATTTTGAGGTTTTACCCTCGGTTTATCATAGGTGTACTAATTTGTGATTTTTCGTGGTATTAATTCAATTTAACAGAAACTAACGGAAGGTTAATTTATCACAAATATACCAGTTTGGGGTTCATATGGTCACAAATATATCAGTTTGAGATTTTTCATAGTATTATCCTTTTTTTTAAAGTGACAATTTTTTTCCTTTTCGGAAAATGGGTCACGGAGAAAATCGAAATAAAAATTTGAGCTCCTTTTCTTTTTTTTTTGGTCGAAAAAATTTGAGCTTTTTGGGCTTAGGGACTTTTGGGACAATTTCCGAAAATCAAGAAAAGGAAAGGGTGGGAGGGAGGAAGGCGTGTGGCGTTCACGAGCTGGAAGGATGGAGTGACCGAGGAAAGAGGATGATGTCGAGCACCGGACCTTGTCCGGCCCCATCGAAGCGTGTGCCCTCCACGCTCGCCAAGAGCGCCTTCAAATCGTCTTCTTCATTTATCTTTTCCTTTTCTTTTTTTCTTTTTATTTTCAGAAATTTGGAATTGCGAAAAAAATAATTATATGTGAACCGTGCCTCGGGGGCTCCGTGGACCAACCCTACTAGGAGCCGGCCCACGTCGTATGCGCCTTGCTTTACGTCCCGGCGGCCGGGCAACCGAAGGCCCCCCCTTGCTTCCTCTGTATCTTTATAATTAGGGGTGTCAAAACCAAACATAATACCCGAATCGAAACACGAACCGACCCGAAATTTTAAGATATTTTCAGTTCGGGTCTTACTATGTTCAGGTATACATTTATAAAATGGGTATTGTGACTTGTTTCGGTTCGGTTCGGTTCGGTTTGGTTCGGGTCATAACACGAACCGAACCGAAACATGTTAGTTTATCAAAATTGAATTGCAGTTCTCTACTCTAAATAATTTGTCTTTTAGTTCATCGCTTAATTCTGTGAGGGAAAATGTATTTATTTGTTATGGCAATTGAGCTTCTTTTCTAGATTGTTGGATGTTGCTGCTACTTCCAGTGCAATTGGATTCTATATTCTTTTCAGGCATTAAAGATGGTGAAGCTTACAGTTTAAGTTAAAAAGCTCTTGTACACAAGTTGATTTCAGCACAAGCAATTTAGTTGTATTCAAAGTGACGAGCGGCTTAATAAACACCCACTCTATAAAAAAAAAGTTCTTACTAGACTTGCTTCTAAACGCACCCTCCGAAAAACCCACTCAAAAACCCGAAACCCGACTTGACCCGAACCGGATTTTTAGTACGGGTCCTATGCGATTCAGGTCGGTTCGGGTCAGAGAGAGCACGAGCACTTATGATTCGGGTCGGGTCGGGTAGTAGTGGAAGTCGACCCGATCTGACCCATTGACACTCCTATTTATAATGCCCTCCAAGTGTTTTGCGTCTAAGGGATGCCAAGCTTCCCACTAGACCTAAGATGAAGTGATTTAACGTCTTACTTAGGATAAAACTTTTACCTCGATTTTAAGTTCTTATGGATATACGACATATTTTTTTTTTCCATTGTTGAGAAATTTCATGGGTCGTTAAAAAGATAGCCATACCAAGACAAATTGAAGAAAATCAAATCGTTAAATAGAATTATATCGAAGCGTCTTAAGACTGATGTTATTACTCGTCCAAGATTTCGGTGATTGTTCTATTCTCGTACATATTTAGGGAGCACCAAATGAATAAAAAATTTCCGACCTTGAACATATATATATAGATATATATGAGTTCAGGACATGATATGTGACATTCAGAACATTTGATCATCGAATCGGATAGATATCATATTAGTCAATTCCTTGTGCGAAAGGAGTGTCACGTCAGGGCATGGTGCTTCACTGGTTCTCTTGTTTTAGATTTTTCAACTTCTTGGTTTTCCTTTGATTGCCACTGTTTAGATGGGAAAAGTCAAGAAATTAGTGTGCTATTACTTGCAATTGTGATTATTGAAAATATATTGTATTTGTTATGTAGTAATAATTTGCATGTGAATAATGCTCCCCCTATATGAGTTTGTATTTAATATTTCTGGGAAATGACAAATGTTCTACTGACTAAAATTTTAGGATGAGCTGGTTCAAAGCTAGATTCTGAACCGACCCTTTAGGTCCTAGTTCCTTTTCGGAACTGAGAACCATACCGGCAAGGCTTGGAACCTCCTTGGAACCGAACCGCGTAGACGGGATTTTTTTTTTTTTTGCCAACACATGGATTAAAGAACAGTGAAAACAGTGAAAACAACCTTACCAAAAAAAAAAAAAAAGAACAGTGAAAACATGTCTGGTTAAAAAAAGAATAGTGAAGTCAAACAAAAGGCGAATGCAATGCAGTGCCCATCATGGCCAGACAGCAGAAAGTATGGCTTTGGTTTTTACCTGCTACTTCTTTTATACTTCTAATCTCAGAGATAGATAGAGTTTTGTGACGAAAGAGATACAGGGCCCTAAGTTTAGGCTTGTAGGGTTTGAACTTTTTCAAAATTCGTGACATTTTCTAATTGTATAAAATCTTTTGCTACATACAAACATAAGCAAACTTGTTGATGCTGATCAAGTGGTGCAGCGCATGCACTTAGTTTAAAGAGATCATGGGTTTGATTTTTCAAGCATGCGTTGAATTAATTCTTTAAGGTAAACCGGTTTCTAGCATGTTCAGGGTCTAGAGTCGGGATCCTAACTGGTCAAGACCGATTTCTAGTTTCTAGAGTCAGGAACCGGTCTTGAATCAATCGAGTAAGGTCAGTTCGGGCCGACTTCCGGGTTGAACCAGTCCAGTTGTTCATCCCTAGACTGTGCAAAATTGAGAGAATATGAGGTCCAACTATTCTTACATACGATAGGTTCGCAACTCACGTTCACAAATATATGGTATTGGCTTGAGTGGCTGGCGATGAGATGTTAGGGACAAGAGATCCAAGTTTGAAAAAGAAAATATAAAAGACAATGAGTATGAGATAACCGTCATCATGAGGTTCTACAGTGGCGTATTTATCCTCGCTGAGGTATCTCGGGTGGATTTATGAATCCATCCCCATCAGTTGGTGACAATGATGTCTTGTCAGTCGATATAGTCTTAGCTAGAGATGAGTAGGCTAGATACTCACCTATACATTTTAGTGAGCTATGTGGTAATCGCGTATCGTGAAATAATATGTCATTTACTTTCATTAGAATAAAAAAAAATTATAACACGTGACAAGTTATTGTTATTTACATATCATGGTAGAAAGCAAAGGCATCTACTCATATTCGTTTCGTATATGCAGATATTTTATACTCGTCTTGAACTCATGTTGTTATATTTGATATTGGGTAACTGATAATATGATCTCCTACCTTAGACCTTAAACCTGGAGATTCCATTCACTAGACTCTGCCTCACCCTTTTATTTACAAATCTGTAGTGATGGAGCCACCGCTCGCGACTTTGGATACTGCTATCTATAGAGTATTTATATCAACATGTCCCCGTACCTCGTTTTGCGATGGAGCATGTTGCAGCTCTTCAGTTTGGGTTGACACCGGGTTACCCCAATATACCCCTTATCACTTTGTTACTTGGTATGCTTGTATTAATGGCTACTTGGCTAGTTGGTGGGAACTCTCAAAGTGTTTGATGGTCCACCAGGTTTTGGTTACGAAGGTGATGCATTGGTGCCAATGGTTATAGACCATTGAGTAGAGTGATAGCTTGGATATTGTACAAAAAAGTTTTTGATCAAATAATAGTATGCTCATAATGGTGCTAGGTTGACCCTCACTATGTTGGATTCTCATGACGTCACGTCTCAAACTAGGGCTGGCAAAATGGATCTCAATTTAGGAGGCCCAATACTATATGGGTAACTCGTTTTTTTTTTTTATAAATGGGCTTAATTGGGTTAAGAAGAAAATGAAAGCCTAAAAAACATATCATGATGGGTTTGCTTATGATCCATATTTGACCCATTTAGCCCAGCAAAACAGGTTTCTCTTGTCTCCCTCTTTCGTCTCTCCCGATCGTCCCCCCCTCTCCTCACTCCACTCGCTCGTCACAACCGTATTTACCGCCGCAAAACCGTAACGCCACCCTTTCTACCGTGCCCACATTCGCCCCGATCGTCTGCGTGATCAACCTTGTCCTCCCCATCGGGGACCCTGAGACAAAGGTCTTCGCTTCTGGAGCCAAGGGCGGCGGTGCTGTGGTCGACCCACACTCTACATTATCAAACCACCAGAAGATGGCGGCCGATCCGTCGCTTAGCACTTTGACAACAACCGAAGCAGTGGTTGAGCCAGAAAAATGTCGACTCCCTCGGCGACCTCATCCCCTTCACCGACAAGCTCTACTCCGGTGATCTCCAGCGCCGCCTCGGTGTCACCTTTGGTGTCTGTGTCCTCATCCAGCACCTCCTTGAAAAGGACGACGACCGCTACGACTACGAGGCCATCTGCAGCTTATACTTCGGCGGCTAAGGGCACATCTCCGTCCAAGGCCCCTGCCTCACCTACTAAGATACCTTCCTCGTCGTGCCAGCAGCTCTGGCATCTTCGAGGGCATCTCTGGTACTGTGCATCTGCAGCGGATCGTCTTCCCGTTCAAGCTCTTCGAGGGTGGCTTCGGCATCTTTGATTTTTTTGGTTTTTTGTTTTTTTACATTTTTGTTTATTTACTTACATCTTCATTTTGTTATTTTAATTTTTTAATTTGATATAAAATTTTATCTAATTAACACATTAAGATGAAGAGCTTAAAGTGGGTTAATTGGGTGGGTATATATTAGTGAGGGTTAATTATGAATGTGTTTTAGTAATATGAATCAGGTATAAATTAAGTCGAGGTTACTTCAAGTACGAGTCATCAAAATTGTATTGTATAAAAATTGATCAATATGGGCTAAATGAGCCAATTTGAGTCAGATTATTTTCGACTCAACACAAATCCGATCCTCCCATTTGACAACCCTACTCAAAATGTCCGTCTTGGGAATCCAACGTAGTTAGAATTAACCTAGCATCTCGATATACATACTTACGTATGGTCAAAAGCTTGCCTTTACGATACCAAAGCGACCGCTCTCCTCAATCTCCAGGCACCAATACGTCACTTCCATCATTAAAACCTGGTGGACAATCGAACGTTCTGATAGGTCCCACCAACTCCCCAATTGTACAAGCATACCGAGCAACGAAGCGCAACCCGATGTTAACCCACATGGAAGAGCTGCACCTAGTACCTTCTTCGCAGGTTGAACAGGGCGAGAATTGTCTCTATTTGCACGAATGGAGATAGGATCTGTCCCTCAGATGACCTGAACATATGTTAAGCAGCATCATCATACCATCAGTAGGGTTCTTCAGTAACCCATTAATAGTTTTCAAAGATTTTGAGAAATAGTTAGCCACCAATAGCGATTAGTCGTGCGGGAGACAGAGAGGAGAGACCTCGAAACATTGAAACTTCAAAGTTACCTGCCAGCAACCAAGAAGCACATGAGCTGAAGTCGAAACCACCCTATCCAAGATTCAAAGGGCATCCAATATCTGCAACTTCGATCTGTTTAGCAAAAATCAGCACCGAGTCCAAGCAGAATCAATGTCAAGAATTAAATCCCGTGAACCGTAGATTACCTCGTCTTCGGAGGCTGGAAATGCTAAAATGATACAAACGGGAGTTCTGAAACCAGAGTGCTAACAAAGATGCATCCTCAGAGGCTGGAACATGCTAAGATGATGCAAACAGGAGCTCTGAAACCAGATTATAGGATTCCTAGAACGAAGGAGAAACTCGAGCGACACGCATTTCCAAACTGCAGCTGCAAGGGAAGCGATTGAATGCTAAACAAAAGCTTGCCTTCATCATAACATGGTCCAAACAATGGCCATGCAGCATCCCTTCCATTAGCGATGCATAGAGATACAGTTCGAGCATCACTTCCATGTAGAATTGAAAGCTCTAGGAAGAAGGAAAACGAGGGGAATGAATCTCTCTCTTCCTACCCTAAGGTGAGAGCAAGGTGATTGGGTAAAAAAAACATGCGAATGATAAGATTAATTACTGCCTGGGGGCAAAATTACAGCTAAGTGACATCTTGTATAGATTTGCTTACATCAAGAAGAGAAAAATATATAAGTCGAGAAACCCCACCTGATGAACGACCGGAAGACTGATTTGGAGCGGGACTCTGTGAAGAATTGTGCGAAGCCGTGCGAAAAAGAAAGTGAAACGGGACAAAGCAGACAACCCAGATGAGTGCGGCTTTCACTCTTGAATGGTTCCACCGAGCCCCGATCCTAGGCATCGCCATTTTCTTTGACGATGGCAACGACGACGGAGATGATCATGATGCCCTCGGGCTGCTACTTGCGGTGTTCATCCGCGAAATGGGCTTGCACAGTTGCTTGATCTGGCTGTTCGGAAGAAGAAGAAGAAGAAGAAGAAGAAGAAAGAGAACGAAGGAACGGTCAGATGTTCCTGTAAAATATTGTTTTGACAGTAGATAATAGACATTAATCTTTAAGTTACTTCTGTCGATAGCATGGCTAAAGTATATGCAAAGATCAAACTATAAGTACCTTGCATATTAATCACCAGAATTGAAAATTTCAGTTTGGATGTCATAATTGATGGCGGGTAATTTATATCCGAATACTCCGTCTGGTTTTCCAAAAAAAAAAAAAAAAACTCTCGCGGGTCGAGACAATTACTAACAATGCCAGTTCTATCTAATCATCGATATTTAAAGCAATTAGGGTCATCGCGAATTGCAACAGTGTAAAGTCACAAAGAATTCTCGATAGAAATATGCTCGGGTCAAAAAGGAGATTCACGTGGTTACCCCGGAGGCGGAAAAAGAGAATTCCTCTTTCCTCTCTCTTGCACGTGTCGGCGCACGAGGTCCCGAGTCCAGACGAGGGGTTAGCCTCCCCCTCCCCACTAATCGAGTCGAATCAAGGACAAAGATCTGCCCCAAAGTCGATGGAAAATCCACACCATCATGACAATTAAAGGAGAGACGCACAAGAAAGGATTTGATACGGGGCCCAAGATCCACACCAAAAGGACTGGGGGATTAAACCAGAAACTTCTGGTCCTGATCGAAGAAGGCCATCTTGATCTAATGGCCTCAAGCACCATCAAATTTCCTATCATTATTATTATTATTTTCTTTGTTAAATTTTAAAATTTGGTTTAGACCATCATGAGTATAAAGGAGAAAGAAGAAAATGCTGTCTTGGGTCCTTGGCAAAAAGGGCCATCCTGGAGGGGTAAAGGTCGGGGGGAACCCATGGGCGCCCATGGGGGTGGGTCTGGGGGTCGTACCCATGTTGGGATTCACCGCCCACCACGTGATGCTCGTGTATTCCCCGGGGGTATTTCCCCGGGCCACGGCATCGCGCGACACGCGGCGTGAAAGGTATTTTCGTTGCAACCTGTTACACGGGGGTGTGGATCGCGCCATTCCCAACCCGTCCCGTCGCTCACGTGGCCCGCGCGCGTCCCGACCCGACCGGAATTTTTCCCCCCGTTCGAGTTCCCGAATTGTCTTTTTCCTCTATATCGGCCGGGCTTCCATTGACACGCGGCGTGCAGGAAACCAAAATCTCTCAATGCTTATGTGCACAGGAACGCGACGGGGATTGATAAAGGTCGCACGACGCGACTTCACGTGGGATCCATTAAAATCGTGGGTTTTGCCAGCTGGAGGATGTGTTCCGGTAGTTATCAATGTCGAGTACGTAATTATCCACAAATCAATTGAGAGACGTGTCTCAATTTTGAGAGCACGATGGAGATTTGGATTTCGCACCAGCGATTAGATTGTCCCCCGTGCAATTCGTCGATCGATGACGGCTCTCAAACGCTCAAACGCTACCTACTCGGCTTTCGAAAAAATCGCAAAAAGATGGATTTCGCCCGATGCACGAAAATCACATCGGGCACCGTTCGACGACAACATCGAAGAGGGAAAAATCGGGGACCCGGGGCAGCGCCGGCCTTCGAATTACTCTCGATATTCATGCGACCAGTTGTACTGCACTGCCGAATCGTTCGTTTCAAAGGGTCCTCGGCATCGGTCGATGGCGACTTCCTAGCGTGATGAAAAGAACCAACCGGCGCTTGTCTCGTGCGACGACTAATGTTGGCAGGAATCCGCATTAAATTCGCATGGAGAAAGTCAAAAGAAGAAGAAGAGGAGGAAAGGGAAAGGACAGACGCGGCTGCAAATTTCATGCACTCGTGGGAGATTCCGCAACACATGATGCACAAAGGCGCAGTCTTGACAGCAGTCTCGTCGTAATTGAAAAATTGTCACCAAGGATCAAGACATGTTGTGCGCAAATTGATTTCGTCGCCAAGGATCGAGAAAACTCGACACGTTCTGCATGTTGTTTCGTCCCGAGTTGGATTGAGTTCGCAGTTTTCCTTTGTAAACTTTGAGCTAGCACTCGAGACATTGTCGATTCGAGTGCGAATGAAAACCATTCTTTTTTTTTTTGACTCCATTTATGGATAGAAATACAAAATTTATTTTCTTGGATAAATTTCTGAGCAAAAAGTAGCGGTTGATAACGACACAAAATTTATGTTCCCGGAATAAAAATTCGTTTGATAGGTTATTCTTAAATTTCTTCTGGTGTACAGCCCGGGGGGCGGCGGAAGGGCAACGTCGGGGCGGGGCGGATGTCCGACGGGTGGCCCCAGGCGACGGAGGCGGTGGTGACCAAATGACGGTAAAGGTGATGGCGAGCAACGAGGGCCAGCGATAAAAGACTTTTTATTTCTGTTTCTGTTCTAGAAATAGAAAAGTAAAAAAAAAATCTATTTCTCATTTCTTTTCAAATCTATTTTTGACCTAAAAATTTATCCCGGAAATAAAAAAAGAATGAAGTTGCGTTGTCAAACGAATTTTTATTCCAAACCTGTTCCCGAGAACAGAAAAATAGAAAAACAGAGAAACAGAGTGGCTATCATTCGCGCCCTTGATTGCTCGATTCGCAAAAACACCGCGCATCGTGCCAATAACTTGACCGTTTCTTTTTCGGTTGTCGGTTTCATGGAAAACTTTCGTCGAGCAGCACAACCGTGTGTCGCTTAGTTATGGATGCGGGCGTAACATCCTGTGAGACACTGCCAGTTGTTACAAAAACTTAAACCTGTTAAATGATGATTTGATTTGATCTTCAAATAGTCTAACATTCCCCTTTCTCCTCAAGAAGGCCGGACTTTGGTCAATACTAAGCGCAGCAGTATATAAAATAATGGACGCAAATAAGATACATAGAAATATTTGAATTTGGGACCTTTACTTTAGTTCCTTGTAAAAATATGTGGAAAATCATTGTCAGCAATTTAAAAAACTTGAATTATTAGATGAAGGCGTATTTTAATATTTAAGTATTTCGATAGTTAGGAATAGCGATCCACTATAAGCACATAACACGAGTGATCGACATTGTGGGAATTGAGGAGTGAACCCCTGGAGAGACCATAAGGCCGAGTTTGTTCATACACCTCCAATGTTATCCTTTTTACGGGTTGGGAACAACTCGGATTAAGATGATTTTGTTAGTACGATAACTTCCATGGGATCATCCAATGATTCGGAACGTCGTTTCCCTCGCACATGATCGTGACTCATGTGGGAATCCACCGCCCTAACACAATGCAATGATTACGCTCCAAATTTACGAAGCGTTGCAACGAGTGTCCTGCACGCGCTTTGCTGATCGGGGTTTGATCTATAAGCCAATTGAATTCGCAGGAAAAAATTGGTTTCGCAAAGTTCCCCGTTTTGAAAGGCTTCCCGATGACGTGTAATGTTCCCATTCGCTTCCCCCCACGCACGCCAAAAACAATCATAGCCCCCTCCCCCCTCCTCAAAGATCAATGTTGATTTTTTTTTAAATGCAATTTAATAAACCCCCGAAGCTTTATAAAACAAAAAAAAAGAAACACTCGACACCTTTTAATTAATTAAATTCACTAAAGTGTTCTCCTTTGGGATCTGCCAAATCCGCCTTTTTCTTTTTCCCACATTCCATTTCCAACTGATATAAAAAATAAACTTCTTTTTTTCCCCCCTCGAGTCATGTCCGCGATTCCACCAATCGCCACTTGCCACGTGGCAGCTCAATTTCTCTATTTAATTTTATTAATTCATTGGAGCAAGAAAGAGGGGTAAAAAAAGGAAAAAAAATCGGGTACATTCAACTCCAGATTCCGCACTCTCTCTCTCTCTCTCTCTCTGAGCCGAGACCCAATCATTCATTGAGCCCATCAAGACCCTGGGCCCCGCCGAACGAACGGTCTAGATTTAATGTCCTGGTGGGGCCCCCCCGCCCCCTCCCGGGTAGGCCAACTGAAACCCACCACTGATCTCCAAATGGCCACCAGGGAAAAAAAAAGGAGAAATTATTGCATCGGCTCGTTTTATGGTCGTTACTCGACACGACCGACATGGTTGGTCACTGTGCGATAGCTCGCATTCTCTAGCGACCCCTATTCGATTCTCGCGGGCCATCATTGCATAATCGAATTTGCACGCATCTCGGGGGGCGAACAATTTTCGCAAATTTTTTCAACACGATATCTTCCTTATTTTATAGATCGGCCAAAACTAAATTGAGAGGAAAAAGGAGGGAAGGGAGGAGGGATGATGATTCACCTGTTTGTCAGTGACAATTGTACATTGGTTAGGGCAATGACCAGCATCTGGGCCTCCACTACCTGACCAACACCTGGAAGTGCTCTTCCTGTGGGCCCCCACCTACCTCCTCCTCTCTCCTCAGCTCTCTGATCACCATCATCGTCATCATCATCTTTTGCATTCACCATCCCATTGGGTCATGTTAGGAGTCATCAAATCGCATTGATCCATCCACAAAAAAACTTAGCCCAAGGGCAGTCACATTGATTTACAAAGACTCCCTCCCTCCCTCCATCCTACACAATTGAAGTGGCGACGTTCCATCTCTTCCCCCAAAAGTGCTCAAAAAGGCCCTTGTGGTCCTTCCATTCCCAGCAAAATCAGAGAGAGAGAGAGAGAGAGAGAGAGAGAGAGAGAGAGAGAGAGAGAGAGTTGCTTGCTGGTTAGGTGGGAGTCTTGCCAAGCAAATGCATACATTTGAATATAGGTGATTTTGACCCATTTGATCCAAAAGGCAAAGCATATATGTAGATTATACAAGCATGTTTTGGTGGGGGTGGGGGGGCAATTTGCACAAAAAAATTAGAATGGGTACCCAAAAGAGGGGGCATAAAAAAAGAAGAAGACCCAGATCAGAATTTAGCCCTAATCCAAAAAGGGAATCCTCCATAATCCCCACCCTGTTAAAAGCGTCTTCTTGCAAGCCTTGATAATAATCAATCCATATTTTAATCACACAGGAAAAAAATTGGGGGATGATGATAATAATAATAATAGTAATATCAGTGATTTTTTTTTTCGGAAAAAAAAGCGGGGTGAAAAAAAAAAGGGGGAAGCTCATCCATTTAACGACAACCAAAACCTCACGTGTGTACAACACATCAATCAAGCTAGCCCACCAAATTAATCGCCGCCGGGATCTGGGAACGGTGGCTGCCGGTCGTCGCCGCCGCCGCCGCCCCCGCCGCCGTGGTGAGAGTGCGAACCGCTCGCCTGGGATTCCGACACGCCGGAGCTCGTCACGGGCCGGTACGGGCTCAGCCCGCCGAGCATGTTGAACTGGCCCTCGCAGCCGCCTGCCCCGGCAGAGGCCGAGCCCAAATGCTGACCCGGCAATAGGGCGACGGGCGCGGGGAAGTTCATGAAATGCAGGCCGCTAGACATGGTGCCCCGGTACAAAGCGGCGCTGTTGCTGACCGAGGCCGGGAACGTCCATACCGGATCACCGCTCATGACCTGGTTGCTCGGGTTGGTCACCATCCAGAAGTTCGCCGGGAGATTCCCGTGGCTCGCCGGCAGGGCTCCGGAGCTCGACTGCAACAGGTAGCTGCCGACATGCGACTGAGGCTGAGGCTGAGACTGAGAATTGGTCGACAAATCAAGCTGATCGGACCTTCGCTTCTTGCTCATGCCCTCGTGATCGGTGCTCTCTGATAGGTCCAAATTCGAAGCCTCTCGGAGCTCCTGCTTGGCCTGAAACAGCATCGAGCTCAAATTGCTCGAGGAGCCCTGGAAATTGAGCAGCGTCGGCGTCGATTCAGGCGACAGCCCGATCCCGGGGAACAAGGCGGTGTTGCTCCGGCGCTGCGGCGGGAGGGAGAAGTTGGGGCTGAAGTAAGTCGATCGGAGCTGCGACGGGACCGACATGCTGGAGCCGGAGCTGCGGAGCGAGATGTTGAGGGACGTGAAGTTGGCCGGGATGGTGCCCGTCCCGGTGGCGGCGATCACGGCGGGCTCCGCCTGCTGGAGGAGCCACTCGATGGTCTCCCCGTCGGACTTGTGGCCGAGCTCGCGGGTGAGCTGGAAGACCCTGGCGGCGCAGAGGGCCGGCATGCGGATGCGCCGCCCCCGGCCGTCCACCTTCGTGTGCCGGTCCTTCGTCGAGGTCCGCTTCGGCGGCGGCTTCTTGGACCCCGCCGCCCCCGCCCCCCCCGCCAGCGGCTGCTGCTGATCCTCGGCGGACACGATCTGGAGGCTGTTGGAGGCGGAGGACGATCGGTTGTTAGGGTTCGGGGGCGCCGCGTCGTCGGAGGACATGGCGAGGGAGGGATAGCTGGACGTCGAGCACGGCTGCTCGTCCTCCTTCTTCTCGAGCAGCTGGAAGGGGAAGTTGGGTCGTCGGTGGTGTTGGTGGTGGTGGAGGAAGTGGTCGTGATGGTGGTGGTCGTGATCACCTCCTTCCATTATCACATGTAAAACCAAGCTCTCCCTTCTCTTCTCTTCTCTCTCTCTCTCTCTCTGTCTAACCCACCTTCTCTCTTCTTCTTGTTCTTCCCTCCACACCTCCGCCGCCGCCGCCGCCGCCTCCGCCTCCTCCTTCTCCGCCTTCCTCCTTGAGAGTGAGTGAGTTGCAGTAAGCTTGCAAGAGAGAGAGTGTGTGGAATTGCTTTGCTTTCACAGGCGACTGAGTTAGAGAGAGAGAGAGAGAGGATAAGGAAGGAAGGAGAGAGAGAGAGAGAGAGGGGCAAAGCTAAAAAGGGCTTTGAGGGAACAAAAAGATAATGAGTGGGAATTATATGGGTGAGCTTTAAAAAGCTGTTTTTTTTTTTTTAAATTCCTCCCCCATTGGAAAATTTTTTAATTTTTTCCTTTTGCTTTCTTGCTGTACATTCTTGAGTTTTTTTAATCCTCTATCTCTCTCTCTATCTCTTGAACAAAAAATAAAATCCAGTTCACCGCTTTTGTCACAACTGCTAACTAGGTCAGTTTTAGGCTTTTGAAGTATAGTCTACAATTTCAGATCCCCCCAAAAAAAGTATAGTCTACAGGCAAAAGTATAGTCTAGATAAAAAAAGGTATGATCTAGATACTGGCCAGAAAGCAAAAAAAAAGGTATAGTCTACGTTGCCAGACATTAGGCGGATAGAATTAGATAAGATCGATCGACGAAATTTCGATGTGCAATTATCGCATTATCTTTAGATTTTCATGGAGGTTGTGATTAGAGCGGATGTATGATATTGTTTTCGATGTTCCGTTGTGATTAAAGTGATGTGTGCTGATGTAACAAGTTTTGTTCGTCGCGAATATGTCGATTCAATGAGATTTTTCATTGATTAGATGCCGTGCTTTTACTTGATTTTATCGTATTAAGTGGAAAGGGTTTCAACATGTGATTATTCCGTAACTTTAGGCGGAATTATTTGTAAGACATATCAAGTCATTTTTGCAATCATCTGCTTAGATGTAGCAAGATCCGTCGATTTCAATATCGTACGTTTGGTAAGATATGCACTAATCAAGAGGTCTATTTTTATAAGCACATGGAACATGTTCAAGTGTGTATGCGATGGTCTTACGCTTTCATTTGAAAAATTGATGTGGTGTGGAGCAATTAAAATATTCTAGCTTTTTTTTTGTCTTAACTATATTATAGTTGACTCATAACTCATTAACTTAAGTTGTTGAGTGAATACATGTCCAATTTGATATATTAATGGACTCGACCTTTGGCTCCCTCTTATAGTCTCATTCGAAATACTAATTCGGTGTCGAGCAATTAACACTTATTAGATTAAGCTATAAAGTGAATATATGTTCAATTAGATATGCCAATTGACTCGATCTTTGATTTCCTCTTAGTGATCTCCTCAGATGAAGCCATCGAATATTTACCCCGCATCTCAACACGAGCGTATCGGGTATCTGCTCATCCTTCCCGATTGAGTTTCATGTTGCAATACATTTCCTAACATGAGTAGGGGATGTTTGGTATTGATTTTCATTGTTCTAACGTTATTGTAATCTTCCTTCCTTCCTTTTTTTTTTTTCTTCTTTTTGGTCATGTTGTTGTTTTTTTTTTTTTTTGGGTATGTGAAGGAAGGAGGGAGGGAAGTGAGAAGTTACTATCTTTTTTTTTATTTTTCTTTTTAATAATTTGTGGTTGGACAGGGCCATTGGTTCAGACTCCACGTGAGGTGCTCTCTTTTTTCTATCATTCAATCCATAAAGACAATGGGCATTGGAATTGGGGTGGGGCCCAGTCCTAAGTCAAAAAGATGAATTTTGAGAGAGAGGGTGAGGGGAGGGGGCTTATAAAGGAAAGATTATGAGGTGGGTCCCCTTCCCCATTCAAGTAATCATTCCCTGGTGCATTTGGCCCTTTGCCTTTTGCTCTGCATCAAAGCTTTGTTTTTGTGGGGATCAGAAAACAGAACAAAAGAAAACTAGAGAGAGAGAGAGAGAGAGAGAGAGACAGAGAGAGAGAGAGAGGAAAGAACAAACACAAGCACACACGTCTTTGGGATACCCTTAAGCATTGGTAGTAGCTATCTCTCAACATTCATGTTGCCTTTTCCTTGGGATCCTTTGGCTGGATTTGATTGTTTGGCCTCCCTATTTTTTTCACCCTATGTGATCAGGTGAAGGGGTGGTGCTGTGACTGCTGTCCTAGAGCATTTTTATTTGGGGGGATGGGCGTGGAGGGCACGGATTCTTCGCATCCCGCACTCCTCGATTTTAGTACGGGGAATTTGCCCCCGTCGAAATGGATGCAAGACACAGTTCGCCGGATGACGGGAAGGGAAATCGGGAGGGGATTGGTATCAGCCCTGCCTGGCTCGACTAGTATGTTTTTCGAAATATATATTGATTACAAGTATTTGACAAAAACCTCTTTACTCGACTATCTTCTTTTTGGAGACGTAGACTATATCACTCATCATAGCGACATTACTTCATTTAAGATTCAGTAAAAGACGTAGATTGTACCGGTCATAATAGTGACGTTACTTCATTTAAAATTCAATTGGAAATGAAAACAAATGTCTTATTGTATGCGAATGATAGACACGGCATAAGAGTGCTTAGATTTTTGATAGACATAAAAGAGCAATGTAAATTATAATTTCTCATATCAAAATAGGGATAAAATCTAAAAACTTGCCTGAAAATTAGCGAAGGTGTATTTAGAGCCTACGAGGGTGGTTCCCCTGAGGCATTGTTGCCCCATGGGAATATGGGATTAGGGCAAAACTCTCTTGCCCCGCACGAGGCACGGGGCCCTGACTAGGTAGAGCTTTGCCTGACGGGGTAGGGACGGGGAGCACAATCCCCAACATCGTCTAGTGTCATTTCTAATTATATGCACATCTTGAGTAGCCCACCTCTTTAGATGAGTTAAAGACAAAGATAATTTACTCTTGAACACAGGAACATTCAAACGATGCTAGCATTACTAATTATCAACAAGAAAAAGAGAAGATTATGAGGGGATATTATATTTATGACCATGAATTGGGGAAAAAGAACTAAGCAAAGTTTAAAGAACTTAATCATACCAAAGGATGCCTTTTTGCCATTATTTTTGACGCATTCTCAGGATGGTGCTTCGAAGGGACCATGTTTGAGGCAGATGCTTATCTGGGTCCTGTCGAAATCAAACATATAGGAGTCTATAAATGACGATCTCCCGCAATTTGAAGTATTCTTTTCGAATGATGCTTTAGAGGACGGAATATGCACTTATGATGTCACACTAGCAAGGCGACAGATTACGTGCCAGGCCAAGTTAAATAACCTTTCATTAGCCAGTACTTTGGTTGATTAGTGTTCCTTTTTTGTGACTGTGATTTTCATGAATATGCATGGGGCCCTCCTGTGCTTTTTCTCTGTAAGATTCATATCGATCATGATTTTGGTGGCGTTAATACAATTTTATACCTACGTCGAGAACCGTCTAACACCGACGTTTAAATCTCATGTTCAAGCGTGTCTGGCTTGACTCTTAGCGAATCGTTATATCCCGTTTTGAATTTCTGCCGAAATTTAGCTATGATGGGAAATAATTGAAATGAATTCGAGCACGTTCACTAGAAAATTTGAATGGTATTATTTATGTTTAATTTTTCAAATATTAAAGGAAATATACAACTAAATCTTGATGGAACATATCCATGAGAACACTAAATTACGCTTTGAAAAGATTGGAGTGGTGAAGTGGGACATGATGGTATTGGTGCCCAAGGTAATTCACACTTGAGGCATTGAAAACGACAGTCAAATTGGGGAGTCAATAACTTCATGCTAATCACTTTCACCCCCCACCTTTTCCAATCTTTGGCTCCATCGATAAGTAAAAACACATGCCGTTTTCAACATAATGAAAAGCGAGTTTATCCGATAGGTAACTTTTCTGTAAAGGGTATATTTTTTTTTTGCCTTTTCTTTTTTGTTGTTGCTTCTCCTCCATTATTTTTGGGCTGTCACATTAGGGTTTGCACATGCACATTGTTTCTCGATGTCGTTGTCAGTGTCGCGCGATTGTGGAGGAGAGAGGCTCTGTCTTTGTTCCACTTTTGCCCTAATTGAGCATGAAGGGAACGTCACATTGCATGGTGAGTATAACTACATAGTCCAATTTAGCTGCTCTATTTACTGCCCATATAGTCTGAACTCTCCACTTTTACGCTCTCCAAACGGAAAAATTACCGCCGAAAAATGGGTTTTTAGTTTTAAGCACCTCGGATCCGAGCTCTCCAGACGACCTCGAGAGAAACCTGCGAAATAGTAAGAAAGAAGAATCAGCAGACGAGACGTCGACGGATCTTGAATTGCCGCTGTTTCGATAATTCTTACTGTTTGAGTGTATTGCAGTTGCGGGATATTGTGTTTTTTCTCATCAATAAATTTTCAAACACGCGGCAAGACCTAGTGGGGGACTGTGTGTGGATGCTGTGTGACAAGTGACAAGTTAAGAGAAGAGCGATGGTATTTGGTCTGAGGAAAACTGCCCCAATTCATGACGCGAATGTGGACCAGTTTGGCCGAGGATTGTGGACCAGAAGTTAGTCAATGCTGCCTTTTCTGAGACCACAAGCTTCAGCTCCCTTATGCCATTCTGACATCGACGTCTTACCTTCTCTCTTTTCTCTTGTACAGTCCTTCGTTTTCCCATTTAGATATATCTGTATATACATATGATACATGCATATATGAAATCCTGGAAGTCCAAACCTTAGGGTATAAGTGGATTCTTGTTCTTGAAATTTAAAATGGACTTTGAAAGGGTTCTTGAAACCCTAAGATCTTTATTCTATGGCTGATCCCCTGAGATCATGGTCGGGTGAATTGTTTATTATTGATTCAATTAGATGACAAATGGAGGTTGCTAAAGTATATAGGTTTATAAAGTAAGGGTTCCTGTCAATTTCTTTGTTGACCTTGGTCTTTAGGTCTTCTCTTTTGTCAGCTTATTTCTTTAATTTCTTGATTCTTTTGGGTGAAGAGAGGGTACTATAAGCTCCATTAATGGCTGGATTGCCGGAAAGAGCTGTATGTTGGGTGAGTGTATTCCAGCTGAGAGAGAGAGAGAGAGAGAGAGAGAGAGAGAGAGAGAGAGAGAGAGAGAGAGAGAGAGAGAGAGAGAGAGAGAGAGAGAGAGAGAGATGGATGGACTGGTACGAACACACAAGATTTATAAATTGATGACTTTTGCATTATTGAATCTTCCGAGAGCATAGTGAATAGCCCTAAAAAACAAAAGGAGGGAATTTGTGGTTCAGCTTGTGTTGCCAGCGAGATAGACCAAGTCCTCTCCTTGTTTCTCAGCAATCTGAGTTGTGAACTCTTCATCATTTTCTCTCATGTCAAATCTCACTTTAATTTTCATCCAACCATCTTCATCTTTGTCCCGATTTCTGTCACCGAGTCGTAAGTTTGACAGCAATACAATTGATGGTACATTACTTGCTTGGTTTAAAGATGACATATGGCGCCTCATATTAATGTCTATGCAGTTGTTCAAGATTCAAGACCCTTCATTTAGGCAAGAACGTGTAATTAATTTCACGAGATCAACTCCAAAAACCCAATTAACTGAGGTTATATTAGGACCCAACTCATTCATTTTGGCATGTTCTGGCTAGGAACCAGTCATAGATCAATTAAAGTAGACTTTGTGAGCCTTACATATGGGCAAACGCTTGACCTTAACCCCATTTTGACTAATCCCTAAGCTGAATGGTACTTTGGAGTTGAAAAAATGGTTCACTTGTCTTTAATTGAAAGACGAATATCTCCACAATAATTAAGTAATTCCAATATAAACATATTCATTTTCATTATGATTATGGTGTTTCTTCGACTGATCTCGAGTCAATTTGTGCTCGTCAAGCCCAAAGACCAAGTGACCCGACACAGAGAGCTCATTATCATTAATTTTGTTAAATTTAGGTGTCGTTCCCTTGATAATTGCTCTACGTACCCAAGACTTGTCGATGAGCCGGGCTACTTGAGAAAAGTGAAAGACCCAAAAGGAAAATATTCTCTTTGTAGTTTCTTAAGGAGTCAAATATACGAAATTCGCAAACCAAATGAACCAAAAGAAAAATTATTATGTGATGGAATTGGCCATGGTTGGTGCGCACTATAAATACTCAAAAAACTATATTTAGGCCCCTACTTTACCAATATGCCAGCTTCATGAGATACTGTTGCTGATTGGATCAAACGTCACGTTGAGGGAAATATTTAGACAGTCGGAATCTTTCATGCCTCCAAATGTAGCTAGGGCTGACGTCACAAAGAACAAAAAACAGCCTCAAGAATGAATATTAGCTAGAATAGCCAGCCTCATGCGTCACATCAACTTCAATTTAACTTGGTTTTTTGCATGGCCCTATTGGGAAATATCCCTTTCATCCAACTCTCAAGACCATTTAGATATCCTCATTGGGATTATGTTTCTATTTCAAGTGTTTTGAACATGATTTTTGGGCTTCTCTTGCTCGATTGGTCCCTACCTCCTATGGATATTTGGTTCCTTCGAAGGGATGTGAAGGCCCAATAGCTTTACGAGAGAGAGACTTTTCAGTGTAATCCGATGTTTTCCATCCATCAAGTTCAATTAGCAAGTCCAAAGTATTATCGTGTTTTTGGTAGATGAATTCATATTACTCGACGCATGAAAATAGTTGCCTTTAGGTATGAAAACGTTGGGTTTCGAGAACATTTGAAAGTTTTAGCATGTAATACGAGATTTTCCATACATCAAGATCATAGAGTATTACGTACCGTTTTATTGAGAGATGAATTCATATTACTTGACACGCGATAAGAATTACATCCACATATGAAAAAAGTCGCGTTTCGGGAACATACGGAAGTTTTCGCAAGTATGGCCATGTGCTAATTTTCCTCCTCAAAGGAACACCACTTAATGTTTGCAACTTGTGAGAGAGCTCTCTTTCACTCTCTACATTATATAAGAATTACTTTTAAAAGAAAAACAATTTTGGATATTGTTATGGCCATTTATCGTACCATGTTTGACATCCGGATAACCTTGGTGATAACTTTTTCACCATTGCTATGACATGCTAGATGTACTTAGTCATGTTCATGGCATTGGCTTGTTTAGAATCACTTCATGAATTTATGTTAAAAGAAATAGGATATTCGCAACATATGTTATACATATATTAATAGATAAACTCCACCATGCATTTCCTATGTTAACCTATGCAACTTTATCAATTAAAATAATAACGTTTTCACACCGAGAGAGAGGTACGAAACATAAGCCCCGGACATCCACGTAGGAGAACAGTAATGGTCATCTTCAATGATTCTTGTTTTATGTTTTATTTTCTTGGGGTCCCACTTCTGCAAGTTGCAAACTCCCGCATAGGACATCAAATATCTTATCCAAACAACATTGGGGAGAGCCAATGAGGACACGCCACGTAATCATGGTCCCTGGAAACTCCCCCAAGTCACTCGGGGGATGGCTTCTTTACTCTATGAACGGTGTGCCAAACCCTTCATATATGCTCCCCAATTCGGTGGTTAGCCGTTGATTATTTTGCTTAACAGATCAATTTATTTTAATGAATATGTGCTTAACCTTGTTGGTACTTCGTCGATTCCCCATATTAGCTTTGTTTTGCAGTATTTTGGGTCGTTCTCTGTTTTGATTTGTTTTTTCTTGAAGTCTACAAACTTTTTCTGTATCCTTTTGAGCAATGAGTATAACTTTCTTTCAACCAAAAAAATAAAAAAACTCTTCAACAAGAAATTCTCATAAAAATCTCTCTTAGCCTTTTTTCTAAATAAAATCTTCGGCGATACTTTATCGTCGGCCTGAATTTACACGGGACTGCGCTAGTTGATTGGCAGAGCTTGTAATTTCAGATGAAGATCCGATTTTCTGTTCTTACTTAACGAGGACAATCGTTTAGGCAAACGTAAAATAGGACGAGAGCCGTCGCGCCTTTGATCGTCATGCAAACTAAGTGGGCATGATTCTTGCTCTCGAGAAGGCGATGAGATTGGCATGTTTCCTCAAGAGGGGTCATGCAGATGAAACGACTTCCTTTACATTTGTTAAACCAAGAATTAAAAACAAATGCTTATTTTAAATCCTTTTATAACTCCAAATCCAATGTCAAATGTGAGAAAAGTGGAAGTGTTGATCGCCCTCTTCCAATGTCATATGAACCCTTCATTCTGATCATCTCCATCTTCTTGGCCATCAAGCTTTGCCAATGGAGGAAGCCCACGCTCCCGCCGGGTCCTTATCCTTTCCCACTCATAGGCAACTTGCACCAGATCAAACCGAATGTGGCCACGGCTCGCTGCTTTGCCGAGTGGTCATGGCTTTACGGCCCTGTCATGTCGGTTTGGCTCGGCTCCAAGCTGAGCATCGTCGTGTCTAGTCCTGAGTTGGCCAAGGAAGTCCTCAAAGATCATGACCAGGTATTGGCCAACAGGCACAGAATGGAGTCTACAGTCAAGATCACTAAAGATGGCAAGGGGCTTGTATGGGCCGATTATGGGCCACACTACGTGAAGCTCAGAAAAATCTGTGTTCACGAGCTGTTCTCTGCAAGGAGAATTGAAGCTCTGAGGCCCATTAGAGAAGATGAAGTCAGGAACATGGTGGAGACCATTTGCCGGGATTGCACCGGGAATGAAGGTCAGGGGAGGAGCTTGGTCGTTAGGAAGTACTTGAGCTCGGTCGCGTTTAATTGCATCTCGCGGCTCGTGTTTGGGAAGAAATTCGTGACGACGGCGGGTGAGGCGACCGAGCAAGGGTCGGAGTTCAAGGAAATAGTCGCTGAAGGGAACCGGCGAGGTGCGTCGCTTTCCTTGTTTGTCTCGGAGCATGTCCGGTGGTTCGGTTGGGTTTTTCGGCCAGATCAAGAGGAGTTGCGGAGGCATGTTGCTCGGAGGGATCGGCTCGTGCGAGCGATCATCGGAGAGGGCAGGCTGAAAGCCGAACAAGGCCGTGCTGCTGAGCAACACTTTGTGGACGCCTTGCTTGGTATGCAAGAAAGCTATGACCTCAGTGAGGAAACCGTGATTGAGTTACTTTGGGACATGATCACTGCTGGCATGGACACGATTGCTATCTCGGTTGAATGGGCGATGGCCGAGCTAATCAAGAATCCGCGAACGCAACGCAAGGTCCAAGAAGAACTGGACCGGGTTGTCGGGCTGGGTCTTTGGATGACCGAATCTGACCTCTCGAACCTCCCTTATTTACAATGTGTAGTCAAGGAGGCACTCAGATTGCACCCTCCAACCCCATTGATGCTTCCTCACAAGGCCAGCGCCAACACCAAGATTGGTCACCATGACATTCCAAAGGGCACTATTGTATCCATAAATCTGTGGGCCATGGGCCGTGACCCGGATCTTTGGCAAGACCCGCTAAAGTTCCGACCGGACCGGTTCCGTGAAGACAACATCGATGTAAAGGGTCAAGATTTCAGGCTTTTGCCGTTCGGGTCGGGGAGACGGGTCTGTCCTGCAGCCCAGCTCAGCTTAAACTTGGTTGCATCAATGTTGTGCCAGCTACTACATCACTTCTCCTGGGCCGGCGGGGAGGAGATTGACATGACGGAAAGCCCAGGATTGGTATGTTACATGCAGAAACCTCTTCAGGCAATACCAACCATGAGGCTACCAGCAAATTTGTATGACAAAAGTTGTTAGCTAGTCAATTGCATAATTTACTTGGTGAAAACCATATCGAATCTACCCGAGTACTTTTGCGCTATAGAATATTTAACAGGCAATGTAAGTTCTACTTGCATAGTTAATGAGAGAAACATATAGTGGGTGAAAAATTTAAAGTTGATAAAGGATAGTCATCACCTCCAAACTCTGTTATACTAGCGTATACGAATTTCTACGAGTACTGCATATCAGTTCTCTTGTCAAGATTAGAGTTCTGTCGAATGTCTGAATAAAGAAATGATGCAAAAGAAAGACCACATAAGATTGATGAAAATGACATGAACTTATTGTATTAAAGTTTCAGGATGATACCATCCGGTTTCATACTTTCAGTTAACGTTAACAAACTTTGGTCTCATTGACCAATTCTGACGGGTCCTCAAATTCTTACTATCATCAATACCTTCTGTATAATTATGTTCTTGCTGCTGGAATATACAGCTTAGCCATCTGTATTCTTTCTTTTATAGGATCCTGGTCACCATCCTTCATTTTCATGTTATAGCTGTTTTTTGGTGCCAACGCAAAGGCTCTGAGTGTTTTCTTTCATATAAGAGCAGGAAGATTGCATATTCACTGAACTCGGTGAGCATTATTTTCCCCTGATGCGGGTTGAAATTGGAGAAATCCATTGCAGAAATGTAATTTGAAGCCCAAAATTACACCATCTAGGAATATACAGCTGAGCCATCTGTATTCTTTCTTTTATAGGATCCTGGTCACCATCCTTCATTTTCATGTTATAGCTGTTTTTTGGTGCCAACGCAAAGGCTCTGAGTGTTTTCTTTCATACAAGAGCAGAAAGATTGCATATTCACTGAACTCGGTGAACATTATTTTCCCCTGATGCGGGTTGAAATTGGAGAAATCCATTGCAGAAATGTAATTTGAAGCCCAAAATTACACCATCTAGGAATAGACTCGGTGCTGCTTATAGTTCATCAACAAGGGACACTTTTTCGGCAATTCGGAATTGCTCTTATTGGGGAGGGATCGAATAGTGCTTTATGCTGATCACATCCTCTGGCCTAGAAGGAGGGTGGGTCTTGTTTCTCGACCTCAACTGCAAATACTCCTTGAACAGGAACCCTTTGTACTTCGGTGCCTCTTTAATTTCCTTAGTGAACTGCGGCAATGGCTCGACCCACTTGTCTCCGCCTATGTTGTAAAAGAATGCATACGAGTGCCGATCTCTTGCCTGCCTCACCACCCTATGACTCGCACTCTTGAACCTGTCGTTGCTCAGTACCTACACAAAAAATTATAATTTTTTTGTACTCATTGCCTGTACATGTGCAAGGAATAATAATCAATAATTGTCGCGTGTTTCATTAGTCATTACTTGAATAACGTCTCCGACGTTGACGATGAGCGTGCCTTCTAGCGGAGTCACTGGTATCCAGTTCCCATCCTTCCGGACCTCTAGTCCTCCGACTTCATCCTGGAACACAAATGTGATGCAGTTCACGTCTTTGTGTTCGGCGACCCCAGTGTTTTCTGTCTCGGTAGTGGGGAAGTAGCGGAATGCCAACATGAGGTCCCACTTCCGGTCATTGTTATACTCTGTCAGCAAATTCGACGGGAGCCCTAAGCACTCATTGATTGTGTTCTCAATGATCCTCCCTGCGTTCACAAAGTGTGAGAACATCTCATCCAGGACCTCCCTGCAAGACATTGTGAAGAAAAATTAAATAGTTGAAGCTCACAGCTTATGATTACCCTATAAGTATCATTGTTTAGCTATTAGACCATGCCGCTACCGAATACAATTCATACTTGTCGCGACCTCCCCGTGGTAAAATAGGAGTCAACAATACTGTATCGACTCATTCAAAACTGAAAAGTTCAGAAGCAATGAGAACACGGAAAGTGCTTCAGTTCTATCGAATTCTTTCCTCTTAGGGGGACACCACGTTATGATAAACTATGAAGTTAATTACTTTGTGGTACCTGAAACCGGGTGGGTTGATGGGGTATACATTGAAGCTGGACCCAGGAGGAAACATCATGAAAAACTCGTTCTTGTCGGCTGACCTTTCCGGTTGCAGGCTGTAGCCGGCGGGGATCGGCATGCCGGGCACCGGACCGGACTTCAATTTTTCCTCATTCGGGTACTTGAAAAATGTCTTGGAAAGAGCCAGGGCTCTCTTCATCAGCTCAACGGGAACACCATGGTTCACCACTTGGAAGAAGCCGTACTCGGAGCACGCATGGCCTATTGATTTGATGGCCTTCCTTTTGCCTTCTTCATCTCCTTGTGCAAAGAAAGGAGAGAGATCCACCGTAGGAATTCCTGAACTCATTGTTAAGGATATATGCTTTTTGTGCCACTCCCTGATCTCTCCTCAGTTCTGACTATATATATAGAGTCTGAAATAAAGATGCTTCAGTAAGTTTGGTTGTTTTGACCCCCTTTCAACTAAAACTAAGAGGCTGAGCCAAAAAGAAGAAAGTGACTAAGAAAATGACAGCATCTATGAGGAGCTAATATAGCTTTTCAAGGTCGATTAACTGCATTAAACTAGCGCATACATCGATTGTAAAAGAAGTCAAGGATCGACCAAACATGGTTAAACTATAAATAAATTGGAATATGTTCATTGAAAGTCTTAAAATTTATTACGAAAGTGCAATTGAGTCATATAACTTGCAAAAATCAAATTTTAAAACTTGTCAAGTTGGTTCAATCGAATCCTAAAGTTAACATCATCTAATTTACTAACGGAAAACGCTGACGTGACGTTGACGTAGCTTATTTTAATATTTTCTCTCTTCTACGTAGCGATGGCGTGGCTAAATAATGAAACATAACACTAAAACAACACCGTTTTGGCCCAAATTTAATTTGTAATACTAATTTTATTACAATTAAATTTAAAAAATAAGGTAAATAGCTAAAGAAAAAGACCCACGACTAGCGGCTGTGGCCAAGCCTTCGCCGGTGGCTACCGCCATAACCGCCGAGAAGGGCCGGCGGAGGTCGCGTGGGCCTTCTCGAAGGCCAACGACCCTTGCTGACCCCGGGTGAGGCCCCAATATGGGGGAGGGCGCAACCCTTGCCCCAAATCTAACCGAGGGTTTTCGAGCTTCGGGAAAGCCCAGGCGACGTCTGCCGGTCTTTCCCGGTGGTTGTGGCGGCGGCCACCAGCAAGGGCTTGGCCACGGTCGTTGGTTGTGGTGGTCTGTTTTTATTTTTTTAGCTTTTTTACCTAATGTAATTTATATTATTTATTTATTTTTTTCTGATGTGGTGCTTATTGAACGCCACATCATCGCCATGTGTCTAAAGTTAAGTAATAAAATAAGACATGCCAGCATTTTCTGTTAGCTTGATTAGACGGAGTTAATTGAAGGATTTGATCAACTCCACTTAATAAGTTTTAGGATTTGATCGTACTTTTTGAAAGTTTTAGGACTCAATTTTACCTTCGTGATAAGTTTTAGGACTTCTGGTGCATATATCTCAAATAAATTTGGCTTGACTAGATGTTAAAGAACAAAACATGGGTGTCATACTTATAATTTCTTTCATTTTACGGTATGGCCTAACAGAGCTTGGGAAGTCATCTGCAAGTATGTCCTCATCTACAAGGACTTCACATAGCTGACATAACGTGTCAACTGAAGCATATTTACTCATGCTTCGTAGGCCTGCACGAAAGATGCTCAATTGGCTTCTTCTAACCTTTTCCTTTGTCTTGTTTGAATTTCATGAGGAAGACAGCCGTGACTTTTGTTTCGCAATTGCTTATGAAATGAAAAATACTATGTTGTGAAGACGCCAATGGTACCCACCAGATGATCAATTGCTTGACTAGTATTGCTATTAATCAAAGCGAAATGATTATATCTGCCTTCATGACAATTTCTAAGGTATTACAATTGTATGTAGAGTCTGGGATCAGTTTCGAGTTCACCTGGTTTAACATCATTTCATCTTAGAACATTTAGAAGTATACTCAATCCTAATCCTTAGGGGCGACCAAAAGGAATTGTCAAGGCTAGTCCCAACCAGCCAATTCTAAGTGGTTCGCGAGGGCACTGGTCTGGTTCCCAATTCCATGCAATTGGAATCGGTGAATTTCGGTTCAGTTTCTGGTTTCAGGTGTGGAACCACCTGCCTAGATCATCCGAACCAAACGAATTTTTTATTTATTACAAATGTGAAAAATCCTCAATATCTTCACAAACCTCACTCTTTCACGCCTCTTTCCCAAATTTGAAACAAAACTTTCACGCCTGATGCTCATGCTCACGCTCATGCCTCTCTCGCTCGACTCAGTTGCTCTCTTTCTCTCGTTCGACTCAATCACTCTCAGTCTTGCTCGAGTCTTAGATGCCACCCTCTTGCTTAAGTCACTTGATGCGTCCCTCTTGCTCGACGCCTCCCTCTCATGGTCTCATCTTGAGTCTCAACTCTCGCCTCCCTCTTTTGTAACGTTTTCCTAATGTGGGTTACATTAATTGAGATTATTATTACCTGCTTACGGGTTTGGTCTAATAAGTTTGGATATAAGGTTTCTTAATTGGTCAGATATGGGCCCGGCTTGTGTGGGCCGAGTTCGGCCCGGCCCGTTATGAGAGGGCCTGGCTGGAAACTCTATAAATAGAGCTGCAGGTCCTTCCTCTGCACCCAACTCTCTCCAATCTCTCTCAAACGCTCTCAAACTCACCTAAGGCTTCCGTGAGTTGGCTGAGGCGGTCTCATAGCGCCGGGACTTCGGGGGTGACAGGGTAGAAGACCTACGGCACCGGTTCATCGTCATTTCGGCATCTAGGCAGATGGAATCCAAAACAGGTGCACAAATTCTATCAATCCTTTTACCGTACAGTTAATATCTCGCTATGGTGATCCTAGGGCGCTCGGCCGAGTCATACGGGCCGGCCAACATCTTTTGCTCTATTTTTAGTCGATTGTGATTGCAATTGCATCTCATCGAGGAATATATCCGATGCTTTATTTTTTTTGCCGTTTTTCGTACGCCATCGTAGACTGTGGATGCATTTGATCATATCGACTATGGAGAACTCGGGCAACATTGGAATGTGCTATATTGATCATTTCGTGTCTCTTTAGTTTATACATTTCCTTTCCCATCGAAAGAGCCGAATTGATGTCCCTTTTTATTAATGATTCTTCTAATTGCCTTTTCAAGAGAGTATCTGCCGGTTGCTATTCTTGCAAGTTCTCTAATTCTTTTCAGGCATGCGTCTTCTCATTATCAATCCTGCAATGAATTTGGATTATGAACTATATGCTTTAAAAATAAAACACATGCCATTGATTCCATTTACCCACCCGAGAACCGGACCCGACCCGACCAATCCGGTGTTAGGACTGGATGGTCCGATTCTCGGTTCTAGAAACTGGGAATTGGACCGCTTAGAAACTGATCACCTTTACTATTGTTACAGTCCTACTGACTGTCAGTTTGCCTGACTCTTCACCAGATCGATGCTGTGAATTTAATTTGCTCTCAATCACATCTCTACTTTTGAATATACTAAAATAAATATAGTCGTGCAAAAATGATTAAATGGTTCTTGAATAAAAAATTAACGAGCAAATCATACTGCATAGTTTAACATAGGAGGGTTTGGCATCGCGTGGCCAAGTCCGAAAGAATTTTGGACTTGTTGAGCACAACGAGTCTAATAAAGATCAGGAAAATATGTACAGTTCCGTCTTTTGGAAGATAGTATGGTGGAATCTTCATCCGTTTATTCTTTCTAGTATTTCTAAATGTGATAACATGAGGTCATTCTGTGAACTATATCTTTTTTTGAGATAAGTACATTGAAAGTCTCAAAACTTACAAAAAATATAATCAAGGCCTAAAATTTGTCAAATTGGTACAATCGAGTCTTTACTTAACTCCGTCCAACTTGGCTAACGGAAAATGCTAATGTGGTCTTTTTGTAAATTTCTCTCTCTCCTATGTGGTGATGACGTGGCCAAAACGATGTCAATCTGATTTTCAATACAAATTTTATTTGAATTAAATAAAAAATTAGGCTAATTAAAGATGGGCTAATATTATGAAAAACTCTAAACTGGTACGCTTATGACAAATTTACCTCAAATTAATTTTTTTACCACGAAAAATCCCAAACTGATACACTTGTGATAAATTTACTAAAAACTAATTTTTTGACCATCAAAAACTCCAAATTGATTCACTTCTAACAAATTTACCCTCCGTTAAATTGGATTAATACCATAAAAAATTACAAATTGGTAAATCTGTGACAAACAGAGAGGTAAAATCCTAAACTGATACACCTGTCAACTGCCACGTGTCATCCAACTTAACGGAAGGTAAATTTATTACAAGTGTACTGATTTGGGATTTTTAGTGGTAAAAAAATTAGTTTTGGGATAAATTTGTCACATGTGTACTGGTTTAAGATTTTTTGTGATATTAACTCTTTAGAGAGAGAGAGAGAGAGAGAGAGAGAGAGGGAGAGAGAAACGCCCCCCACCGTCGCCACCTGGTTTTTCAATTTTTTTTAAATTTAGCTTATTTTTAATTTAATTTAAATAATATTTGTTTTAAAAATCAGATTTAGACCAAGATAATATCGTTTTAGCCTTATGTTTTATGTTTTAGCTATATTATTGCCACGTAGGAGAGAGAGAATATTAAAAAAAGCCATGTTAGCACTTTCTGTTATTCAAGGTGGATGGAGTTAACAGGAAAACTCGATTGCATCAATTTGACAAATTTTAGGGTTTGATTGCACATTTTGTAAGTTTTAGGATTCAATTGCATTTTCGTGACAAGATTTAGAACTTTTAGTGCACTTGTCCCTTTTTTTTTTATATGATTGCTAGTTTTAGAGCCATAATAGTATAAAGTAAGTGTAATTTTCAATGCTAGTGAAGCTTTCAAGGCATATCCGGGCCAAGGTCGACTTCGGCCGAAGTCCTAAAATTTACAAAAAAGTACAATTAAGTCCCAAAACTTATCAAATTGGTGCAATCGAGTCTTTCCGTTAACTTCGTCCAACTTGACTAACGGAAAATGCTAATGTGGCTTTTTTTTATAAATATTTTCTCTTTTCTATGTGGCGATGACATGGTTAAAACGACGTCTTTTTAGTCCAAATCTGATTTTTAATACAAGTTTATTTAAATTAAATGAACAAATAAACTAATTTAAAGAGAGAGAGAGAGAGAGAGAGAGAGAGAGAGAGAGGTGAGAACCCATCATAGCTAGGAAGGGCCAGTGATGGTAAGGGATGGCCGGCGAGAGTTGCTGATGTCACACTCCTAACTCAACAAGAACAAGAGCATGACATGACCGTCCTTTCACCAAAGGATGCAGCTTAAACATAACCAAAACTC